CATCTGACAGGTATCAGGTGATATCTCATTGTTTTAATTTGCATTTCTCTGATGATTAGTGATGTGGAGCATCTTTTCATATATCTGTTGGCTATCTGTATGTCCTCTTTGGAAAAATATCTATTCAGATCATGTGCATGTTTGATATCAGGTAGTTTGATACTTCCAACTTTATTCCTTCTTAAGATTGCTTTGGTTATTCAGGGTCTTCTGTGGTTCATATACATTTTAGGATTGTTTTAGTTCTTTGAAAAATGCCATTGGTCTTTTGATAGAGATTGCATTGAATCTGTAGATTGCTTTTGGTAGTATGGACATTTTAATGATGTTAATTCTTTCTATGTATGATCACAGTATATGTTTTTATTTATTTGTATCTTCTTCAGTTTCTTCAGTGTCTTATAGTTTTCTGAGTGCAGGTCTTGGTTAAATTTATTTCTAGCTATTTTGTATTATTTAATTATAAATGAGATTATTTTTTAAATTCTCTTTATGATAGTTTATTGTATATACAAATATAACCAGCTTTGAATATTAAGTTTGTATCCTGCTACTTTACTGAATTCATTTATCAGTTCTAATAGTTTGAGTGGATTCTTTAGGGTTCTCTATATGCAGTATCATGTCATTACAAAAATGACAGCTTTATTTATTTATTTCCAATTTGGATGCCTTTTTTCCCCCTGTCTTGTTATGGCTAGGATTTCCTGTCCTATGTTGAATAAAGTGGTGAACGTGGAAATCCTTGTCTTGTTTCTAATCTAAAAGAAAAAGCTTCCATTTTTTCACCGTTGAGTATGATGTTAACTGTGGGTTTGTCATATATGGCCTTTATTATGTTGAGGTATGTTCCCTCTATCCTCACTTTGCTGAGAGTTTTAATCATAATTAATGTTGAATTTTATCAAATACTTTTCTGCATCTGTTGATAAGATCATTTTGTCCTTTATTGTTTTTAAGTAGTGTATCATGTTAATTCATTTGTGGATATTGGACCAACCTTGCATCTCAGGAATAAATCCCACTTGATCATGGTGTGTCATATTTTTAATATATTGCTGAATTCAGTTTGCTAATATTTTGGTGAGGATTTTTGCATCTGTGTTCATCAGGTATATTGGCCTATGATTTTCTTTTTTGTAATGTCTTTGTTTTGGTATCAGGGTATCGCTTACCTTGTAAAATGAGTTTGGGAGCCTAGACTACGTTTTAGTTTTTTTGTAATAGTTTGAGAAGGTATTAATTCTTTGAATGTTTGGTAAAATTCACCTGTGAAGCCATCAGTCCAAGACTTTTGTTCATTGGGAGTTTTTTGATTATTGGTTTGATTTTGTTAGTAGTTACCTGTTGTTCAGATGTTATACTTCTTTCTGATTCAGTGTTGGAAGATTGTATGTTTCTAGAAATTTATCCATTTTTCCCCCCAGGTTGTTCAATTTATTGGCGTATAATTGTTTGTAGTAAATCTTATAATATTTTCTATTTTGTGGTGTTGGTTGTCATTTCTCCTCTTTTGTATCAGATTTTATTTATTTAGGCTCTCCTTTTTTTCTTGAGTCTGGCTAAAGGTGTATCAATTTTGTTGTATTTTTAAAGAATCAGCACTTGATGTCATTGATCTCTTTTTTTTTAGACTTTATTTCTGCTCTGATCTTATTATTTCCTTTCTTCTACTTGCTTTGGGCTTTGTTTTTCTTTTTCTAGTTCCTTGTACTTGATTTTTAATTTTATACCATTGTGATTGGAGATGTTTGATATGATTTCTTGATATGATTTTAATCTTAATTTTATTGAAACTTGTTTTGTGGCCTTACATGTAATCTATCCTGGAAAATGTTCCGTGTGCACTTGAAAAGAATGTATATTCTGCTGCTTTTGGGTGAAATGTGTATCCTGGAAATTTTTAATGTTTTGTTATGAGACTTGAGGTTTTATTTAAATTTTATGGAAAATATTGATGTTTTTGTTTTAGTATACAATTGACCTGGTGGTAGGTTTAGTCAACAAGTTGTGACCAATCTTCTCTGAGTTGTAGTTTCAATGTCAGCTTCATTTACAGAGCTGTTTCATTGTGTCTTACTTGTGGTCCAGCCAGTGGCCATTCTAGGACTTGGAAACTAGGTTTGTACCCCAGTTCAATTTTCAAAGTCTATGGTATGCTGCTTTGGGTTGTACCCATGCACATGCAACTCAAGGATGAGCCCAGGAGTTCGTAAACAACTGAGGGTCACTTTTCTGAGTTCTTCCCTTTCTGTGATCTTTCTGGTACTTTATGGCTCTTTGAGGCTACTATTTTGATAATCTGGCCAGTAAGCTTGGACTTTGTTTACCTTGCGTCTTGTACATTTACCATGACTGTGTCTGTATCTGGGGCTAGGTAATGGAAGGACAGAGAGCAAAGATGCAGTAGAGGCTTTTTCCTCTCTCTTGGGACCACAGCTCCTCTGACTGGAAAGAAAGAATCTCCTCCCTCAGAGTTTTAGGTAGCCTGACGTGGTAGCAGAGTTCTAAAGCTACCTTCCCAAGATTCTTGTTCCCCTGTTACTCAATCAAACATCAATCTAGGTACTCCTGTGAAGGGACTTTGCAGATATAATTAAGGTTACTAAGCAGTTGACCTTAAAAAAGGGAGATTATTTAGGAGGGCCTGATATAATTAACATGAGCCCTTAAAAGCAGAAGAGGTGGGCAGAAAGAGACTGAGAGGGATGTCACCTTTGTTGTTGTCCTTGACAATGGAGGGAGGGGCATGAAACAGAATGTGGGTAGCCTCTAGAAGTTGAGAAAAATCCCCACTCTACAGTCAGTAAGGAACAGGGACCCCAGCCCTACAACTGCATGGGACAATTCTGACAACAGCCTCAGTGAAGCTAGAACTGGATTCTTCTCAGATTGCAGATAAGAGCCCAGATCCCTGACACCCGTATTTAAGCTTTGTGGGACCTGGAGCAGAGAAATACCTGAGTCTGTTGGACTTCTGAACTGTAGAGCTGTGAGATAAAAAAACTGTTGTTTTAAGTTGCAGTAGGAAGCTAATATACCTGCAGACTTGCCTTGAGCTAGAGGTGAAAGAAATGGAAGGACGGAAAAAGCATTCTATTTCCCCTGTTCTTTGGCAGGAAAACCCCTTCCTGTTCCTTATGGCAGAACTAAAGGGCAGATCTAAAGGGCTTCTCGTGGAGCTCTCTGTTCACATTCCAGGTGTCCAGTTCTGGGTTTTGGCTGCATTGCATCCAGGCTGAGAGATACTGGGGAGAGAACAGTAGTCAACTCACCACCAGTTCTATGACCTTCTTCCTCAATCTACTGACCGCTATTCACTTTTTAGTGTCCCCAAATAGCTGCCATTTATTCTGTCCTGATTTTATAACCGCATTCAGTGGGAGAGACAGGGTGGAGTGTGCTTACTTGATCCTACCCAGAACTGGGTTAGTTTATTAGTTTATTATGAAAACAGTTTTGTTCTTTGTGTGGAGCACAGTAATCTTCATTGGTATCTCTGCTAATACTTTAGTGCACATTCTTTTAGATTTTTTTCCTATTAGGGACATTTTTTCCAAGTAGATACATGGCAATGAACCTCACTATTTAGTTGTGAGTAGTAATACTAGATTAGTAGCAATTACCATTTTATTTAATCAATAAGGGAGTGTTTTAATTTGCTAGGGCTGCTATGACAGTATCACAGACTAGGTGGCTTAAACAGACATTTATTTTCCCACAGTTCTGGAGACTGGAAGTTCGAGATCAAGGTGTCAGGGTTGCTTTCTTCTGAGGCCTCTCTCTTTTGCTTGTAGATGGCTTTCTTCTCCCTGCATCTTCACATGGTGTCTTAGTCAGCTTGTGTCGCCATTACACAATATCACAGACTGGGTAGTTTAAACAATAAAAATTTATTTTCTAACAATTCTGGAGGCTGGGAAGTCCAAGATCAAGATCCTAGCCAATTCATTTCGTATTGAGGGTACACAGCCTCCTTTCTGGCATGCTGATGACTGCCTTCTCACTGCATCCTCATATGGTGGGGAAGAGAGAGAGAAAGAGAGAGACATGTGCTCTGGTGTTTCTTCCTTGTCTTTTAAGAGTAGGTCCCCAACCTTATGACTTCATTTTATCTTTATCACCTTCTTACAGATAGGTATAGTCATATGCAGTTAGGCCGTCGATGTAGGAATTTGGGGGAGACACAGACATTCAGTCCATTGCACATGGTCTTCCCTCTGTACCTGTCTGTGTCCTAATTTCCTCTTTTTATAAGGATACTAATCTTAATGGATTAGGGCCCACCCTAAAGACCCTGTTTTGACTTGATGTATACTGGGAATTAGGATTTCATCAGCATGGAAGTTTTGAGAGGATGCAGTTCAGCCCATAATAGGGAGGTAGTTTTAGTTTTTCCACTTAAAGTCGGGAAGCTGAGGCTCCAAGACCTTGTAATTTGGCCAAGATCACACAGCTAGTAAGAAATAGAACCAGGATTCAAACCCAGGTAGATTGCCCCCAGAGCCTGCTCTCTTAACTACTTGGCCATGCTCCTACCTCCATTCCCCACCTTGGCAATGCAGTTGTTGGAATGTTTATTGAACTGATTCTGAGTTGAGCATATGGGTTTTTACTCGTTTCTTCTGTTGGACAGTGCTGCATTGAACATGCTTTTCAGGTATCACTGCACAGCTCTGAAAATAATTGCTATTGTATAATGCCAAGAAATCAATTTATTCACAGAAATTATTATTAAATGTATATATTTTTGCAAAGCCCTCTAAAATATCACCTGTTTACTCTTCCAACAATATGATCAAAGAGAGTGACAAAGTTTTAGAAAGGAGCAATGGAAAAACTACTCTCTGTTATAGGCTTACAAATGAATTTGAATTAGATACTTATTGGGGGTATCTCAGAGTGAAATGAAGGCCATTCTTTCTTTTAGATGGGCTGAAAATCATGTACAGTGATACATCCTAATCGATTCATGAGTTCTTTCTTTCATTTTTTTCCAGAATTTTGATTCTGACATTAGCAGTGTGGGAATAGATGGCTGCTGGCAGGCAGACAGCCAAAGACTTCTCAATGAGGTGATGGTGGAACACTTCTTTCGACAAGGAATGCTGGATGTGGCTGAGGAGCTCTGCCAGGTAACAGTGTGCCGACTGGGAGTTGAGAAAGAGACAAGGGAACTCCTTGGAGGTTTTGAGTCTTCTTCTAGCCATAGATAGATTTTTAGTATTTTAATTATCAGGGCTGACCTCATTTTTTTTAATTGGTGAAAATTATAATCCAAAACTTCTTAATTGAAGTATTTCCTTATTCCTGCCCCAAAATGTTAGTCCTAGGTCCTCAACAAAGGGATAGGAAGTAATACCACTTTCCTCATTTCCTCTTTTGATAGGGAAGGTTAGAAAAGGACAGAGGTTTATGTTTGTTGTTCTGTTCTGGCCCAACCTGTAGAATTTTGTTTTATCAAATCAGTTTCAAGCTAAAATTTATTTCAGATGAGTATTGTTGGTCTTTTATTTCTATTAGACACAAATGTAGGGATCTCAAAGTAGTTTACCAAATACCACGTAGTCATAATGGTAGCAGCTGCCATGTATTGAGTGTTTACTACAAGCCAAGCCCTTCCTTTAATTCTCACTACAGTCCTGGGAGATGGACATTTTGCTCTCAGTCTACAAATGAGGACTCTGAAGTCTGGAACAGTAACTTTCCCAAGGCCAAACAGGTTCCTAGTAAAGGAACTGAGTAGGATTTAGTCCCAGATTTATGCGTCTTCAAATTCTGTCCTCAGCTGTCATGTGCTATTATTGTGCTTTCTGCTTAAGCACCATAAGGATTAAATAATTTAAAGCTAGTCTGTAAACAAAACCTCTAAGCCTTTTCTGTTTTAAACAGATAAACTGTAACTTGGGCCTTTCTCTGTACCTTATAGGAATTGTGTGTGCAAGTGCATATAAAGTTTCTAAAGTAAAATGCGTCATTTAGGATTAAGTTTGTTTACAAGTAACAAAGACTCAAAATACCAGTGGCTTAAACAAAAAATACCGAGTTTACTTTTCTTGCACAGAATAGAAGGTAGTAAGCTCTCCACAGGATGTACTATATAGCTGTGCTCCATGAAGCTCTTAGGGACCTAGGCTCTTTGTGGTTCTCCTATTTCTATTTTATTTTATTTTATTTTATTTTTATTTTATTTTATTTTATTTTATTTATTTATTTATTTATTTATTTATTTATTTATTTATTTATTTATTTATTTCCTCCCTCCCTTCTTCTCTCCCTCCCTCCCTCCCTCCCTCCCTCACTGGAGGACACTTGCATTCATCTTCAGATAGAGCGAGAGGGAGGGAGAGAGAGAGAGAAACAGCGATGTGAGAGAGACACATCAAATGGCTGCCACCCACACGACCCCTACCGGGATCTGGGGACAAACTGCAACTGAGGTACGTGCCCTTAGCGGGAAGGGATCCCGGGACGTGAACCCAGGACTCTGGTCCACGGGCCAACACTCTAATCGCTGAGCCAAACTGGCCAGGGCTGTAGTTCTCCTATTTCTAAGGTGTCCCCTGTCCCATGGACCAGGATACCAGTGAAAACTCTATACCTTTTGGTATTTCAGGAAGTAGCTAAGAGTACATGCTTATATTTCATTGGCCAGAACTTACATCTTGCAGTCATACCCAGCTGAAGCCATATGACTATATGCCCAGCTAAAATTTAGGGATTCTGCTACTTTGGAATAGGAAAAAGAATGGTACTAGGGCCCAATCATCAGTCTCTGCCATAGAAATACATGTTAAAAAGAAATGTCTTTAGCCCCTGGCCAGTTTGGCTCAGCGGTTAGAGCGTCGGCCTACGGTCCAGAGAGACCCAGGTTCGGTTCCCGCTAAGGGAACGTACCTTGGTTGCAGTTTGTCCCCAGCCCTGGTTGGGTCGTGTGGTTGGCAACCACTCGATGTGTCGCTTTCACGTCGATGTTTCTCTCTCTCCCCCTCCCACTCTATCTGAACAAAATATCGAAAAATGTCCTCGGGTGAGGATAAAAAAAACAAAACAAAATAAAAAAAAGAAATGTCTTTAATGGTTTGTCCCATATTTAATTTAGAATATGCTTTTACTATATCTCTTTATCCTGATTACTGCTAACAAAAGTTCTTGCTATTTTTTCAGGAATCTGGTCTTTCTGTAGACCCCAGTCAGAAAGAACCATTTGTGGAGTTAAATAGAATATTAGAAGCATTAAAAGTCAGAGTTCTGAGACCTGCTCTGGAGTAAGTTACTAAGTTTATTTTATTTTGAATACTTTGAGAGAATTCTGTAAAAAATACATTCAAGATTTTAAGATACGTATCTCACCTGGGGTAAACCTCAGAGAAATCAAGGGAGAATTATTTTATTTTAGTGAAGTGAATATGGGGGATGTGTAATATGAGAAATGGTTAGAGCTTACTTCACTTATCAGTTGATCTGAATTCCCATGAGAGAAAGGTTTCTTGTATCCAGGCTATGCCATCACTTTAGCATTGTAACTGAAGTACTATTGTTCTGGCAGGCTGAGTTGGATATTTGAACTTCTATAATGTACTGGGTTCTGTGCTAGTTTTCTAAAAAATAACATAATTGGGTCTAAGTGGTATGTATGAAGAGAGCAAATATTGTTATAGTGGTGTTCTAGTATAATTACCACTGTGAAATTTAATTATTTACTGTGAACTTGTTATTGCTATGAATTATGAAATTACTGAGTAAGCTATGATAAATACCATCCTAGAGCAGAGTTAGCAAATTTTTTTGTAAAAGGTCAGATGATAAATATTTTAGGCTTTGCAAGCTACATAAGGTCTCCATTGCACATTATTCTTTTATTTTCCAACCCTTTAAAAATGTAAAAAACCATCTTGGCCATCTGCCATACAAAACAAGCAGCAAGCCCTGGCCAGTTTGGCTCAGTGGTTGGAGCGTTGGCCTGTGGACCAGAGAGTCCCGGGTTCGGTTCCTGGGTTCGGTTCCCACTAGGGGCACATACCAAAACAACAAACAAACAAAACAAGCAGCAAGCCATATTTGGCCGTTGACCAGTTCGCTGACCCCTGTCCTAGAATTTATTTTAATGTGAGAATTACTGGGTTATTTATTAGAAAGAGAGAGAGAGAGAGAGAGAGAGGTGGAGGAGGGAGAAGGGAGAGGGAGAGGAAAGAGAAAAGCTCATAAAAGGAAAAAACTAGATGATAGAAACAGTGATATTGTTGTGAGATTATAGCCGTAGGATCCTGGTATTTTAAAATTGACAGTATTTGAGAGCATTGTTACCAGAAAAAAAAAAAGGGAGGATCCTTGTTGATTTTATAAAATGTGCATTTTTTTCTTCTATTTAATTCTTATAGCTTAATTTTCTGTTTCTGATCACTTCATAGTTCCCAGAAATTTTTGTAGAGTTCTAAAACCAGCCCAGATGAACAGGTAGATTTATAAATTATAAATTCCTGTATAAATTTTAAATAAGACGTAGGTAGGCATTATATTTTTAAAGATGCCACTTAAACAGTACTGTTGTGTGTGGTGCATAGTACCTTTATCATTTTTTAAAATGTTTTTGAGCCCTGGCCGGTTTGGCTCAGCAGTTAGAGCGTCGGCCTGCGGTCCGGAGAGACCCGGGTTCGGTTCCCGCTAAGGGCACGTACTTCGGTTGCAGTTTGTCCCCGGCCCTGGTTGGTCGTGCGGGTGGCAGCCACTCGATGTGTCCCTTCACATCAATGTTTCTCTCTCTCTCTCCCTTCCTCTCTCTCCCTCCCACTCTATCTGTACAAAAAATGGAAAAATATCCTCAGGTGCGAATAAAAATAAAAAAATAAAAAAAATAAAATGTTTTTGAAAGCAGATTTTAGACTGTGACACATCAGGGAGATTCAGTCCAATGAAATACCTCTAACACCTCTTCAACAAAGTATGGCAACCACTCTTCCATCTATTTTCATATTCTATATAGATTAAACATCTGTAAAGGAGAGTGGGGGAACCTGATAAAAATATAATAGGTTTCCCAGATGTTTTATAGTGATTTGGAAATAATATTTGAGTTATTCATGGTAGTATTCATTTATTCATTCATTTCTCAGTTTTTTCATCAGACTTTCATTGAGTGCTTACTATGTACTAGAGACTGTGCTGAGTATTTAGACCACCTCAGCACTCAAAGTCCTCAAGGCTTTTTCCTTTTGGAATGAAGAAAATTTATGAGACTTTTTAACTTCGTTCTTTTTCTGTAAGCCCTGAATTTCTTACTGATAACTATGACATACATATCAATTATTTCTGTAAACGTTTTCTGTTACTTGTAGTCTCAAGCAGTGCCTTTCAGGCAAAGGGAGGAAGTGTTCCATCTAATTGGTAGTAACATTGGAAATTACTATACAGTGAAAGTTTTCTTATTTCACTTTTCTGGGAATGTTGCCATGTTATGAATTAGCATAGGGGAATGTAGTGATAATTATAGTATTGAATACTTACCATGTGCCTAGCATTGTTCTAAACATTTTACATACATTAATATGTATTTTAACATACTTTATTTTTTATTATCCTCGCCCGAGGACATTTTTGCATTCATCTTCAGATAGAGTGGGAGGGAGAGAGGGAGGAAGAGAGAGAGAGAGAGAGAAGCATTGATGTGAGAGAGACACATCGAGTGGTTGCCACCCACACAACCCCAACTGGGGCCAGGGACAAACTGCAACCGAGGTACATACCCTTAGTGGGAACCGAACCCAGACCTCTTTGGTCCACAGGCCAACGCTTTAACCACTGAGCCAAATTGATCAGGCTAACATACTTTATTTTAACATGAATATTTTTAGTATTTTTTTTTTTCTAATCCTTGCCCAAGGATATTTTTCCATTTACCTTCAGATAGAGTGAGGAGGGGTGGGGAGAAACATCATTGTGAGAGAGACATATCAGTTGGTTGCCTCCTTTATGACCCCAGCCAGGGCCAGGGACCAAAGTGCAGCCTAGGTATGTGCCCTTGACTGGAATTGAACCCAGAACTCATTGGTCCACAGGCCGATGCCCAAACTGCTGAGCCAAACTGGTCAGGGCTTTAACATGTATTTTACTTGTATTAACTTATAATCCCCGTAATAATCCTATGAAGTAAGTATTCATTTTACAGAGGAGGAATTGAGGCCTGGAACATATTCTCTGAAAAAAAGATAATGGAGTTAAAGGTTATATGATAAACGATTCTCATGCTATTTCCTTAATAATCTCCTAATAGTCTCCTTAATAGTCTTAAAGAAACTCATTTAACTTTGTAAAACACATGTTTCCCATGCATATTTGACCAAAGAATCTTTGTTCAACCTCATCGCTACCCATAACACCTATTAAAACCCACAAAATAGGAATTTTATGGAACATAGGTTTGGAAAATGCTAGTTTAATAGAAATCTCTTATTACAACAACTCAAACTTTTCCAATTCTTGCCTGTTACTGGTGAATGTAATCACATATTTACTCAGCATCTTTTATGGACAAGGTATAAAAAATTCAGTCTACTTATAGCCAAAGTTGAAAAATGTAGGACATCAATGGGGAACTCCGGTTTAGATACAAAGGGAAAATATTTTGCAGTCGTGGGGTATCCTCTATTCATATTTGCTGGAAGGAACCACCCATGAGGGGAAAGAGAAAGGTGAGAGGCTGCAGTTCCTCCAAGCAGCCTAGGCAGTTGAGATAGGCCAACCAAAAAGATTAATGTGAACAGAGGTCATGGAAAGAATAGATGAGATGGAAGTCTGGAGGTTGTTAGCTAGTAATTGCAAATTATATGAGGCAATGGAAAGAAGGCAGAAAAGGAAGTGATATGGTAGAGAGAAGTGGCAGAAGAACAGCCAATTGCACTTACAGATGTAGTCAGGACCCTGCCTACTTTTAGTTTCTCCCTTATATTTCTGAGTTTGTGTACAGATTTTTCTCTTCATCCAGGTTACTATATCTTTTTTTTTTTTTTAAGTCCTCTTGGCATGTAGCATAGCGCTTATTTTTATAGTAGGCATTCATTATGCGATGGAATAGTTTGAAGAAGAACTTTGAATGAACAGGACCTCCTCCTTTATATAACAGATAAAAGCAAAGCCAAAAATAACTACATATGCTCCTCAACTTTCACTGGGGTTATGTCCTAGTAAGCCCATCATAAGTTGAAAATATTGCAAGTTGAGAATGCATTTAATATACCTAATGTACCGAACATCATAGCTTAACCTAGTGTACCTTAAATGTAAGTGCTCAGAACACTTCCATTAGCCTACAGTTGGGTGAAATCATCTTGCTGCCATTGCCCAGCATCATGAGAGAGTATTGGTACCACATGTCTCTAACCTGGAAAAGATGAAAATTCAAAAATTGACGGACAGTTTCTACCAAATACATAGTGCTTTTACAACGTTGTCAAGTCAAAAAGATCAGAAGTCACTCCATCATTAAGTCAGAAATCATTTGTGGTGTCAACAAGAAGATAACAGTAATTTAATACAGAAAGATGGAGAAATATTAGAAAAACAGAAACTGTCCACATAGCTTGTGTCCACATTTTGAAAGAAAGTGCTTGTCTTTAGGGGAAGCCAGTTGGTTGCATTTCTGAAGGTGTTTTAAGTTTGTAATATTACATTGATGGATTTGCCAGTCTAGGATCTAACTTTCAACTTGCAGATTTGGAAATCTGGTTTTTTCAACACCCATAGCATGCCCAAGAGGCCTCTTAGCTCTTCTTTCGAATTTGCTTTTGTTTTTGCAAAGCCTCAGTAAAATGACATAAAGGAACAGAAAATAACTGAATGATTATGAGAGAGAGAAGTTACAGAATTTTTCAAAGAAGAGAGAACAATTATTTTGTTAGTTTAGACCACAGAAAGGTTTTATATTGGATAGGCCATGAACAAAGTATGAGGCAGCCTGTTGAAATATGAGAGGACTCCATCTCCAAGCCTAGGGATTACGTGGGGCTAGAAATAAAAAGCACAGAGGATGTGAGGTGAGTTGCCATTGTGGCTTCTTGGTGGTGTGTGTGAATAGTAGTTCTAAGAAGAAAATGTTCTCTTTAGAATCTTGTAGTATCCATGACTAAGATATAGTTTATAAGCAGAGAAAGATTTTAGAAAATGAAAACGAAGGGATGAAACCAAAGTCCCTGATCATAGAGCCTCGATTACCTATGGAAATTAGAGTGAGAATGATTAAGCAGTTTCTGGTGTCTTTTCTCTGTCTTAGTTT